TACACCCTAGACCCTAGACCCTCAACCCTAAACCCCAAACCCTAAACCCTAAACCTTAAACCCTAAACCCCTAAACCCTAGACCCTAGACCCTAAACCCTAAACCCCAAACCCCAAGCCCTAAAACCCAAATCCTCAACCCTAAACCCGAAACCCTAAACCTTAAACCCTAAACCCGGAGCCCAGAATCACAAACGCCCTCGTGAACTCCTTAGAGGAGAGCACGTAAAGGAAGTCTGACAGTGTCATCAATCCATACGGTGTAGGGTTTAGGTTTTAGGGTTTCGGGTTTAGTGTTTAGGGTTTAGGGTTTAGGGTTTAGGGTTCAGGGTTTAGGGGGTTTAGGGTTTAGGGTTCAAAATTTAAGGGAGCCGTGGCAGGTTTGCAACGCCCTACTGCTCAGTGGCTTAGTCGGCCCGCGGCAGTGGGATCAGCCCATCGAAGCATTCAGGCTGGGCCCCTCTGGGGTTTAGGGTTTAAGGGATGCGGGATTAGGGTTTAGGGTTGAGAATTCAGGGTTTATAAATTAGGGTTGAGGATCTAGGGTTTAGAGTTGAGGATTTAGGGTTTAGGGTTTAGGATTTAGGGTTTAAAGGTATAGGGAGGATGGGTCCCTAAACCCTACCTAAATTACCTACTTCGGTAAAGGATCTATATTTTCGGGAATCATCATGGGGAGCCCTAGATAGGAAATGGGGTCCAGGTAGACCTAAAACCTTGACAGGGGAGAGGCTTACAGGATTTTCAAGGCTTAGGGTTTAGCGTTTCAGGGTTTAGGAGGTTTAGGGTCTCTAGGGTTTTCGGGTTTGGCGTCTTGGGGATTAGGGGCTTGTCCATTCTTGTGGGGTGTTCCAAACGAGAAACACGGGTGGTGTGGTTTAGTGATTAGGCACAGGGTGCAGGACTTTAAGGTATAGGGTTTGAGGGGTTTGGTATTAAGTTCTTGGGGTTTCGGGTCCAGTTTCGTGGGCATGTAGGACAAAGGCAAGAGGAATGTTGGACGACGCAGGTATGGGCAGTGACAGCACGACATCAGTTACAGTGACCTTGCCCACAGTAAGATCATCAAGCAATCGTTTTCTCCGTCTCGATTGCTTTCCGCTTCTTCTTGTGCATCCACATATGTATCTTTCACATCCCGCATGTCGAAATCTTTGTCTACCCGGTTGTTTAACTGCAACTACAGTATGTATCAATCTGTCTGTCTACCTCTCTGTCCATCTGTTTGTCTGTCTGTCTCTATGTGGATTGATCTATCTCTATCTCTATCTCTATCTCTATCTCTATCTCTATCTCTGTCTCTATCTCTATCTCTATCTCTATCTCTATCT